AATTTGAACCAGGAATCTAAATTTTTTGGTTTCAGAGCTTTTTATTGTGGAGAATCCTGACATCAGCTGCTGATGTTGTAGCCAAAATTACTACTGTCATAGAGGGAATAACAGCAGAGGGGATGGTAGCATCTAGTTGCTGATAAAAGAAAGACGTGATATGATCTTCTCAAGTCTCAGACAGACAAAAATGACTTTTCAGCACTCTCAGCCCTTGTTTGGTGTCTTTTAAGGGTGCAGACAGACTGCAGCCTCGCTACTAATTGGCCAGATGAAAGCATGGAGCAGAGCGCTCTCCACAATGGACATCTTTCAAAATGCACTGTAAAATGAGAAAGTCATAATACAAGATAGTTGGATTTAATTTTCTAGAGGAAAAATCAGTGGAATATATTCACCATATTTTTTGAAAAAAATTTCTTTTCTTTGAACTGACTTTAATTATGAAGGCATTGCCTAGGGAGAATGATTAAGGCAGGAAAAAAATCTGTAAGAAGAGTGGCAATGTGAGGTGGACCAGGAGGGATATAAAAAGGGTAGAAGATGCAGTGCTGCTAAGTTGAAAACTCTCTAAGAATAAGAGGAGACCTGTTTTTTGTCTCAATGCACAAAATTAAGTAGAATGTTTTTGTTGGACCAACGCCTAAAGAACATAAGTGAGAAGACATGATTCACCGAGTCAGGCAGACAAACTTATTTTGAAGACTTCCATGTAGATATCTTGACTGTAATTGTAAGAGAATACTGTCTGGATTGTTTAAAATATTTCATCTTTCTCAGTGTATTTTACACATTGCAATTTGCTTGCTAATATGATGTCCTTATGGTGATTGTGGTACAATATTGCACTTCTGCAAAGAAAATACAGCTGGGTTTTTACACTATGATTGTATTTTCTAACTACTCACAACTGCATATAGAACTTTTTATTCTGTTATGATATGTTTATGTCTGTGTACTTACAACACACACACACACATACACATATATATATATATATAACAAATGTTTATATAGACAAATACTTTTCTTTTATATTCTAGCAACTTGTGAAGGCCACAAAAGATACGGATTAGAAAGGTCCCTAATTATTCAACACAGATGCCTGGAACAAGAGGAAGAGATTTGTTTTACAAAACAGATGCTTAAATTAGCTTGTACTGCTCAAATAGGCAAGAAGTCATTAAAAAATAACATTGAAAAGTGACTTGCTATTTGGACATTTTTCTATTTCATTGAAGTAGTTCCCACAGACCAAAGTTTGTCTACACGTAATTTGCAGGATCAGAGCCCTCAAAATTTAGTAAAGGATCCTTGAGTTTTCAACTTCAGATAGAAAGTAATAATCTACTTTTTACTTTCATGTTAGACATCTTCTTCAAGAATGGATGTAAGTTCACTATAATTTTGCAACAGCAATATTTGACATATTTCTCATACTTCATCACCGACTGGGCTACACATTAGCTGACAGTGACTTGTCTTCACAGTGCTAGGGTTAATTCTGTGTATCAAATGTGGAAACTATGATGAAGGAAGAAAGTAAACTCTTTCTTAAGGTATTCTTCTAATGTATTCTTTTGTAATAATAAAAAGAAACAGAATTTAATATTAGAGGGTTTTTGGTATAGCTGATTGATTATGATTATGAAGTGTTCTAACTTAATAGGAAATATTTTTCTTAAACAATGAGGGAATTTTAGATCAGTTTTTTCTCAAGGGAAACTGGTTTCCACAAAGGTGAGCAATTATAAAAGTACCCCTTTACAAAACATGGAAAGGGAAATCCTCCCTTGATTCCCATTGGCTTCTCTAGATGTAAGGTTTCACCTGTAACCTCTGCTCATATCTCATTTGAGCACAACTGCTTAAGGTAATTTGAAAACATATATATATTATCTGTTTGGTTTTGGCAACTGTTGAAGTCTGAAGAGTTCCAGAAGGAGACTCCTTGTCAGCTTTCTGATGGAGTACAGTCTCTTCATTCAGTTAAGCATCATGTTTGGCACCAAAAACTGGGACTAACTTGTCTTTGACTCTTCTGCTCTCTCTTAGTATTTCTTAATTCTGCACAAAAGTTGGGAATAATTCCATTTTATGATCCATCTTATTTTTGTATTCAACCTACAAGTAAATACCATTTAAGGAATGAGGCTACAAGTAAAAACCATTTAAGCAGGGAGGATTATTTTAGTCCTGTTACAGCTGCAAGGAATGATTCATTGAGGTACCATATTTTGTGTTGCTGTGCTGAAAAAGATATTTATGGATATTTTCCCATTTCCTACATCTTACTCATGCAAGGAAAGATAATGACAGACTTTTCTTTCTTTCTTTTTTTTCTTCTTCTTCTTTTTTTTTTTTTAATTAGGGTTCCAGTTCAGTTTTAAAAGTTCAGCATAAGCTAATTTGGAGCTGGTTAAATGCTTAGGAGCAATCTGTTTGCTCTCACATAGAACTCCCATTAACATGCCAGCTACAGTTCTATTGAAACAAGCTCAGATGGCTTTGTGTCCCCACAGCGGAAGGAGATTTAAACTTTGAAATAAAAAAGTCATGAAGATCTTATTTAAGTAGAAGCTGGGTAAACTGGAAGCACTCTGTGGGAAGTGAGTTATGGACAACTCTAAGTAACAGCCATCGTACTTGTAAATTTGAGCAATGTGTTTCTACTTTAGAGCAATTTCATTCATACATTTCAGAGCACTGAAAAGATCACTGATTTCTACATGGGCTGTCATTGTATATTCCTTGTGAATCCAATATGCAACTTGAGATGAGGTTTGTGGAGCTATAGGTGTGAGAATTTGGAGAGACCTATGGATGCAGGAGTCTTAAACCTGGGGTTCTCTGCCAACAATTCTGTGAATAAAGTTGAGCTGTGTATCAAATAATATCGACATTTATAATTTGGTATTAAGGACCATGTTCTGACTACATTTCTGATGTTTGACGAGTGACATTGTTAATCAGGGAAAACAAGTTCAATCATCAGAATCTGAAGCTGACTGGTGATTAAATTTGGCTAGAAACTGTAAAAATAGTTGACATGATAGCAACACAAGGGTGTACAGTATAATGTCATTTTTAATGTGTCATCATAATTTAACACTGGTCTTTCGGTTTGATTATAATTAACATTCCTTGACTGTTTGTATTTGGCTTACAATATGTCTCAATGTTATGTGTTGAGAGTTGTAAAAGGTGCATGATTGTGCTGTTTCTGTTCAAGTTGTTTCTAACTAAAAACTTCACTGTCCAGTGTTCTTTCAATAAGGGTACCTATTACAATATTTACATTATTTTAGGTATAGAGAAACTGGCTTTTCAACCAAACTGAATGATGCATCTCAATATTCAAGAGCTTATGTGTGTGTGTGTATCTATATTTGCATACACATACACATGTATGTGTTTATTGGTTTAAACAAGATCTCTCGCTTCTTTCCTACCCACCTCACGCTTCTCAAATCTCAGGCATCTGGAAGGAATCAAGACTTTTCATGTAAGCTGAAAGTCATAAGTCTCAGGAATAATATACTCTCTTACAGTGATATTCACTAGAACTTCTCTCCCCAAAATTTAGCAGATCAAATAGTATTAAATAAAGGTCTAATGACTAATAGATTCCAGATAAAGCAGGATTCTTCTACCTGCATGAGTAGCTTAGTCATTCAAATGACTGTGTCTTCTTATCCCTTTGATGCTCTGGGTTTATAGCCACTAAATTCCATATGTTGGAATATTCCATTTTGATTCTTCTGATTCCACAATAGAAAACTTTTACCTTTGTTTTGTGTTCTAAGTATCTTCTATTCTTTCATGCCCAAAAGAAAATACTGCCCTTTGTGGGTCCTTGAACTGACCCAGAATAGTTGCTTTTCATTTGTTCAATTCTGTAATTGTTAAATTTTTATTATATTTCTAGTCTTCTCTTTCAAGTAATAAAGGAGATACTTTCAATAAAGTTTGAAGATCAGCAACAAAACTATAGGCAATTTTTCAGTTTGTTAACATCAACTGAAAGACTATCTTTCTTATAAAACTTAAATAATTAGTGAAGAAATAAACTCTGAATATCCATATTAATTCCAGTGTTTCTTTTGTAAAGTTTAATCTTATAGTTCAAATACTATTCTTATAATATACTTGCACATAAATTAAATGAAGGAATTTGGTTATAGCTCTTGAAATAATGAAAAAACATACAATGTAATGCATAAATCTTAATAGTAATGCACATGAAAATCTATTTTAGCTTAACAATATGAAATAGCCAAAATATATTTGGGACTGTGACAGGATTTGTGTGAGCTTTCTCCTTTGAAAGGATGCTCCTGGCTTTGAATTTCAAACACTACCTTCTGTAGCAGATGAACAAAAGTAATCCTCTTTTTCTTTAGGAAAGCCAGCTAATTGCATGTCTGCCTCACATTCAATTAAGTCTTTGGTGATGGGCTTTGAAGGGTGTGTTTTATATTTTCCTTTCTTTCGTTTGGGCTGGTTTTGGGTTGGGGTGTTTTTGGTTTGTTTTTTATTGTCAATATTTGCTGAGAAGTTCCTGATACCACTATTAAACTGTTCTTTGAAGGAAGCTTTGACAAAATCTCTAGTTTGAAATAGGAACTGGAAAAGTGCAAAGCTGATGGGAGGAGAGTGCCATCCTCCCTGTTGCCTGAGAATTATTTTTTTCGTGAGAAAGCAACATAAGTCTTAATAGAAAAACTAATGGTAGCAAGGTAGACTAAAACAACCTAATTTTGGTCTGAAAGTAATATACCATTATACAGTAATATACTGTATTTATTAAATTTGGGTTGCTTGAGTACTTTTTCCGTTGTTTTCCAAGCATCATTCTAAATATAATATCCTGTTTGGTCACTACTTGGATAATGTGAATGGTACCCATTATTGAAAGGTAGTCTGTATTTGTACTAATACAGAGAATGCCAGTTTAGAAATGAGCCTGATTGCATGGTTCATTTTGTTCTCCTTTGTAGAGCCAGGCTGCGGCCCACTACAAAGGCACTAAACATGCCAAGAAGCTCAAAGCACTGGAAGCCATGAAAAATAAGCAGAAATCTGTTACTACCAAGGACAGCGCAAAGACTACCTTCACTTCCATCACTACCAATACCATCAATACCAGCTCTGACAAAACAGGTTAAGCGACAATCTTTGTTGGTTCCATTTGTTTTGGTTTTGGTTTGTTCTGTGTTTAGTTTGGTTTGTTTTTTTTCTTGTTTAATTCCATGTCTGTTTGTTTATGTGCTTGCCACATTTATTCATGCTCGATCCATCTTTCTGTGTGATATTGATTTCTTTTAGTCCTTTCAGTAGGCTGGTGAGAGTTTGATAGTCATGTAGCCAATTTCTCTTAGTGAAAAGAGGCTTGACATTCTTTTATGATGGAATGCAATACTCATGACTTGATTAACATATCAACTGATCTCAACCTCCTGGTCTGTATGCAGTATCTCTCTATATATTATTATATATAGTACATTACTTTTAACCACAATGTAATAAATTTCACTATTTGTGTCTAAAGCCTCTTAAAAAGCATTTTCAGTAAAAATCTAATTTTCATAAATTTCAAACATTACATTATTGTTTTAAAATGGATATTGCATGGTTTTTAATTGGAAAGAGCTGTATAACCTCTATTCCACACAATCAGGTAAGTGCTATTGATGCCAATTATTCTACTTAAATGAGTCTTCAGACTGAAGTAATAGCTTTTAAATTATTGTATGGGTAAAAGTTGCTCCTTTGCAAATAAAATCTATGTGAGTATTTGTAAAGTCAACAGGATTTGGTTAAGATTGCATTTGAATTATGTAGCTATTGCTGGAAATATCAATGGAAGGTTGGAAGATCACTGAGGTGCAGTCTAGTGTCTCACAAGGTGTGACTGCTCTTGTGTATAAAGGGATACAGTTTGCATATTTAGTCATAACCAACCCCGCCTCTCCAAACAAGACAAAAGTAAGCATACCAAAAAAAAGCTAAAGCTCTGAAACATCAGAGACCTACCTACTGATGCTGAAAACTGCTTATTTGGAACCAGTCCTGATGCAGTAAGTTAAGCATTGTAAATGGATATGAGCTAACAAAATAATATAACAGAAAAGTACCTTGCAGACATGTGTGGTACCTTTCTTAAGATACATCTTCACTATATTTGTTATAGACAGATATCTTTTTGTCTATCTCTCTATATATATATCTTTGTTATACCCTTTATTATAGACAGCATATGTTTTATGGAGATTTATAACCTAATTATAATGTGATGACTTTAGAAAACATTTGCTACAGTATTTTTGTGTTTGTTAAAAAAAAAAGGACACATTTTGAGAACTTTTATATCATGAAAGAAACGAAACGTGGGAGAATAGGAACAATGTCAAACATTATTTGTGAAAATATGTGTTTCTAAACATACAAGTACCTTTCAAAGTTTTTCCTGCTGTTACTTGTTGGCATATTCATAACAGGAAGGAGGATGTTTTGTGAAAAGAGTGAATAATTTTTTTCCAATATGGTCTAGTGGTTGGAGAAAATAACTGAAGAAAAGAGAGATCTTTTGAAGCTTTAAAATGTATTATTCAAAAGCTTTTATCTTATGCTGTGTAAGTTTGAAGGATTTTCCGAGGTGCCTTAAAACCAGTGTGTCTTTCCATCAAGCTTTGAATTAGATCCCTGATAAGATATATGAACTGTCTTATATCCAAGGTCAATAGTACAAATCAGCTTTTATATTGGCATAAGTAAGAAAATATCAGAAATCTAGTTGCACACACAAGTTTTGGCCTATGCAGGAGTTTTCTCAGCTTTACACATTGTTTCTAACTTTCTAGATTAATTTCATAGAATGTGTGTATACATACGTGTATGTACATGTATAAATATATGTATTCTATTTAAGAAATACTGACCTTTATGATATTTTAAAAGACAAATATTGAGGTTAATTGACAAACAACCCTAAATCAGACAATTTCTTAAAATATTGAGACCCTGACTCAACTATTGGCAAAAGCCCTATTCAATCAGTGGTATTCAAAGGAAGGCGGCAAGTTCTACCCAGATGCAGTTATTACAGGTCAGCATTGACGTGACTGATAACAGAATAACACCCTTGGTGTAAATTATCCTTTGCCAGGCATGTATATTTATACATGTGAGGAAAAAAAAAAAATTGGGTAACCAAAAGGATGAAATTTTTCTGTCTACTATGACAAGTTAAAAATTTCATAAATTGAATTTTCTTTTCTTTCCAGTTGTTTTTATATCTTATATTTGCTTGATAAAAATTTTAAGGGCAAAATTATTTCAGAAAGCCAGAATAACCTCAGAATATACTGTACTGTGAGTCTACACATATTTAAATGATTACTGTGAAAGTCAAATAGTCTGATAGTACTATGCAGTTCTTAGGCAGTAGTTGTATTAATGAATATAATTCATTAATTAATCCTTCATAACTAGAAATAAGTTTTGTTACTAAGGCCATGTACTTGTGATCATTTGGAACAAAAGATTTTTCTACAGTATTTTTAAGCTGTCTGCTGAAGATTAATACTTGATCCTAAATACACTGAGGATAGGGTCATGTTCGTATCACCTCTTATATATCATCTGCAGCAGTGGTTAAATGGTGAATTGCATGTCAGTCACAGCACATTGGTCAGCACAGGGTACACTGGTTCCGTGTACCCTTAGCAGCTCCAGTAAACAAAATGTCATCAGGAAATCTGCAGTGCTATGCAATGAGGATTATGAAAAAGATCACACAGTATACAAACTGATTCAAGAGCTAAAGCAGCAATTTGTTATGTTTCTTATTCTGGAAGTGTTTTGTTAGATGTGGCGCCAGCATGTGTTATTGGCACTGTGCAGCTCACAATGTAAGCAAATTCCTTGAAACCTCTCACACGTGATTCCTGGTGTGTAAATTACGTGTTAAGGAGAAAACATAAAATATGGGGTCATTTTGCTCATTCTGTGAAAGTTGCTAATTTATTGTTTTTCCCTTAAAATAAACTTTTAGTATTATTAGAAGGCTTGAACTTGAAAAATCTTTGGGGGAATAAAATATCATGAATAATTACGTTAACAGCCACAGTGGCCAGACACAATAGGCAATACCATTCTCAAAATGTAGGAACTTTGTTATCAGTTCTATTATTTAACATCTTTCTTTTATCTGTATTTACCATTTTTTGTGTTATACTTGCAGTCACTTAGGACAGAAAATGTGACCATTCTAAGGCAAAATCTACTTTATGGTATCATACAAGCCAGATTTCAGTATTTCTTGATTTTCCAAGGGGTGACAATGAAAATTCATATTTTTATTTTTGTTATTAATAACACACATGCATATATGCCTTTATTGTTGCTTTTGAATGTTACACACTATGTCTTAAATCTTTTGTACTTAAATGCAATGAACAGCTCTTAAAAACAGAGAAAAACGTTATGAGCAGAAATAGTGTGTATCTGGGCCAAGGCACAGACAAGATCATCTATCACTAGTACAGTCTTAACAGCTAAGAGGTCCCTGTGGTGTCAGAGAACCAAATATTGGCACCCATCCCAAAAAGCTTACAGTTCTACATAAGATGAAAGACAGCTTAGGGAGACAGGCACTGTAAATGTAACAGGCAGGTGTTTTAAAGGAGTGGTAACATAAACATGTTCAAATAATAAAGGCATCACAAGAAATGAAAACACTGAGGTATAGATGAGAAGAAAAAGGAAGAGATTCTTTTTCTTCTCAGATACTGAATGTATATGTGGGTAACAGCATGGAGGAAAGCATAAGTTCTCTTATTTTTTCTTCACTGAGACATGAAAATTCTTCTGTGGAAAAAAATTTAGTTTCACTACCTCTTTACAATCTTTTTTTTTTCCCTTTTTTTTTTTATCTAAGACGTGATAAGATATTTCTAGTCAACAGATGAAACTTGTTCCTGAAATACCAATTTCAGTCCAACTGGGATAATTCTGAAACAGAGAGTACTTGGAGTGGGAGAGAACAATATTCTGGCATGGTCTTGGGAATAAAAGTGAAGGCAGGAGAGAGAAAGAAATTAGAAATGCTGTGGTAAGTCAGGGTAAACTATGAAGGAGAAGGAAAGGAATATGGCATGAAACAAAAATGTTGAGAAAGATATGCAAGAGTTTGGCAGCCACAATACTACTGGATCAAAGAATGTTTGAGGCATCTGAAGATTGACAAGATCACCCCTACAGGTCAGAGTGGAGTTATCCTGAGCACAAAGCTGTGTATCTTTTTCAACCTTTTGTTGGCAACTCATTCTACAGTTTGACCAGCCTTAGAATAAAGAAGAGTAAAGAACTTTTTCTTATATTTCAGTCCAACTTCCTGTATTTCAGTTTCTGGGTGTTTTGTCTTGTCCTCTCACTGGACACCACGAGAAGAGTCTCTGTCTCTGTCTTTTTTATTCCCTGATCTCATAGGTATTTATATACACTGCTGTCTTATGTTTCAAGTAGTGCCCACCACGATTCCAGGTCCTTCTTTACAAAGATGCTGTCCAGATGCTTAACCCCAGCCCAGACTGCTGTGTAGGGTTATTGCTTCCCAGCTGTGGGAATTTTGCACTTCCCTTCACTGAACTTCAGGGGACTCCTGTTATCCAACTTCTCCAGTCAGTCCAGGTCCCTCTGAATGGCAACCCACCCATCTGGTATATCAGATGCTCCTCTCAGTTTTTAACCATCAGCAAGCTTGTTAAAGGTGCACTCTGTCCCATTATCATTAATGAAGACTTCTAAAAATATTGGGCAAACTGTTCTAGTGCACAGTCACCTGTACAGTAAAGAAGCATTTTCTGCCCATTGCCTCTTGTCCTATTCCTTGGCACCACCGAAAAGAACCTGGCTCCATCTTCTTGACACACTCCTTTCATATACTTACAGACGTTGATAAGGCCCCCTCTCAGTCATCTCTTCTTGAGGAGGAACAGGCCCAACTCTCTCAGCCTTTCTTCCTAAGAGAGATACTCCAGTCCCACAGTCATCTTTGTAGCTCTCTGCTGGACCTGCTCTGGGAGCTCCATGTATCTCTTTTACTGGGGAGCCCAGAACTGGACACAGCACTCCAGATGCAGCCTGACCAGGGGTGAGTA